AAACGCGTAAACATGAGATTAAACGAAAAACACGAAAACGAAAAAAATTATCACTTTTGGATGGAAAGTGTTTCACGCTGATCGTTATACATTCTATACACCCCAAGTTGATTTCTTTAGATATAATAAAGCTCCTCGTTTTTCTTGCTTTCTCGGTTGGAACATCAGAGCTTGTGCGCTACCTCTTCCTTGGATGATGCTTTTTGTTCTTCACTGTTTGGTAGGATACAAAAATACCTTGATAAAATCCTTTTGTAGCTATCAGTTGCATTTCAGTCCCTCTCGTAAAGGTTATTTCGAAGAAAAACCTCTCTGATTATTAAGGAAATTAAGACGTCGCTTACACCTTGAAGCATATAGGAACCTACAGAGTCAGTCAGAAAATCCTTTTTAAACCTTACAAAGCAATAATTATAAAGTTCAGAAGACATTTAACGGCACAGAATTGTTTCTTCAAATTTTAACAGCTTCAAACTTAGCAGCATGTGGAATTGAGCTCAAACATGGAAGGAAGTACTTACGGAGGTCAGCGGAGAATTTATATGCAACTTGCTGGTGAAAGTATTTTGATGATTTCCATTTTAGGCAGAGCTGATACAAACGGCGACCTCCGCAGTAACCTGTGCGGTATCATCAAACGATGGCGAGATGTGCCAACAAATGATCGTCAAGCATTACTGACTTATCGTGCGATTATCCTTACTGAATCAAACAAAACGAAATGAAAATTATTGAAGAAGACGAGTCACCGACAAAGAACTTTGATTTCAATAAGCCAGTGGCTGTAAGCCATCTTCGAATTTCGTAACCCTACCGTAACCCTACAGTAAAGAAGAGAGATCGTTGTTTCGCGTTATACTTTGGCCCTATGCTGAAGATAAACCTACCGTGTGGAAGCAAAGAACCTGCGAAAGCTTTTCATACAAGATAGTTATCAGCTAACAAACGTTTGGTACGCTATTCTGGGAGGTAGTAGACCTCCCAAGTCCACTTTAGCCCAAACCACTTTAACCATGCGCTAAATCCTGATAAATGGCTTCAAGTTCCACCAGCTCCGCCCACTCAACGAAAAAGGGTGGGGCTGGTGGAGTTTTGAAGCGCACTTCTCGGGACTTAGCTCATTGGCAGGTGGTTTTTGGGCTACAGTGTACTTGGGGGGGTCTACTACTGAATCCACCAAAATTAGAGAAGAGTCCATTCTGCTGATCCATTGCCTTCAAACGTTAATTTGAAACAGACCAGAAAATGGTTATAGATGTTCAAATGTCAAAATTCTCCGCAAATAAGCAGTAACTGTAGCAGCGCTATACTGCTTAGTTGAAAAATAATCACGATTGAAGTAGTTGCAAATTAACTACAATTCTTTCCCTAGTGAATGACTGCAATCAAGTATGTTCCCACTACTTGTGCTTGGAGACAGCGTCCGCACAGACTTTCGACTTTCATTGCTGGTTGATTCTTAATCACTCGAGTTGCGTGAATCCACCTACCAAGGTTAGAGGGCTGTATGTCGCCGATAGCTTCCACCTCGCGCGGATATGGTATATATCTGTCATATTAATAATGAGCAATATGCATGGATGCGTACTCTGCTGTGAGTCTCCGCATGAGACCACCCCTTACGACAACATGTAGTCTCCTCCGCCCACCTATAATCCTCGCTAATTTTTTGAGAGTGGACACGGACAAGTGGACAGCTGTACAGCTTTCCGCGTACTGTTGAAGAGGGTGATCTACTATACTCTCAAGAGGAAACATTCGACGCGAGCTTTGGACAAGATGTATATTGGTCAAAGCGTCCTGAAACGCTGACTACATAGCGTATTTCCAAATATGCTATTCATTTTATTGAGTGAAATTGCAGACGCTTTTTTGCTCAAATGTAGGTGGAAAACCAAGGTACATAGCAACCAAGGTACCGAGGTACACAGTCTTCGAGAATATTGGCAGAAGGATTATCGAAGGCGCTGATTACTATAATATGATTTATTTCAGCTTTTGCATCATAAGGTAACGTTACGGTAGTCATTCTGTACGAATCCGAGATCATAGATTATCATGAAAAATTGTGTTTTGGAGTTAATTCACGTGCTGATCACGATTATAGCGTCGAATTTGGTTACTAAAATCCCACACAGGGGCAACGGTAGCAGTGCGATAGAATTTTCGTTGAAATTAAAACGCACGACATAAGAGGCGGTATTAGGGCTTGAGACTATCATTTTTGTAATCAGCATGCTACAAAACCCATTTGTGTCAAATTTGAGGTTCTTGGGGTGGATAATGCAAATAACCAATAAAATCAATGAAATCGATAATTTTTCAATGGGCTTACATCAGTCTCCTGCCTGCCTGTCCATTACTCCTCGTACATGTGCACTTGGATATTCAGAAACAGCATCATTCTGCGAAGAATTTGAGCTAAAATCTGTGCCTTATTCTATGGTATACGTACCGTAACATCACATTACAATATCCCGAGCCCGGACCACTCTGGCTGGAGCTTCGCTTAGGTGTCCCCGATCATGTGCCAGAACCCGTGAATCTGCATCGTAGAATGGCAAAGCTAGAGCTTCAAGAATCCTATGACCCACCGCTGGGTCTTATTGTCGTGAATGTGTTAACTTTGTCTAGTAAACGTAGCAGATATTTATGGCCGTTACTTCTTGTTGCGGATTTCAAGTCATATGACTTTTTGTGTCAGGTGCATGTTCTCAGCCGCTTTTTGCCATGCTCGCATCGGTTTGCTAGAGTCTCTACCGATCATAAAGGCAAATTGCCCGTGGTATTCATGCTGTAAATATCTAGATCCGTTTTAGATTACACATCAACTGTAAAACTGCTCTTGTATTAGTTTGCTCAGGACTGCTAAGTTGACACCACAATTTTGTTCCTTATCAGGCAAAAAAAAAATTCAGCAGATTTTTACGGTTACAACTTCTAATCTGAAGCTGTCTTTATTTACAGCATTTTATCACTCGACACTAGCTTTCCCCTTTTCAATTTCTAAGTTCTGTGTAAGTTCTAATGTAAGTATCTTTTACAAAAGTCTTTTCACAATTTGTGCTGAGCCATAATGCTATCCGCATATGCAGAGTGTCCCAAAAAAATTTGAACACTGTTTGATCGTTAATAACTCCTTTGTTTTCATGTCTTTCGCCAAGCTTGAAAAAACCATTCTATAGAGCGAGGTTCAATTTAGATCTGCAGTATGGCGCGAATCATCGATCGCTCTTCGTTACTGTAAGATTACGGCAAGAACTTTGACAAGGATTTTAGGCAATTAAAGGCCATATTCTGTTTCGGAACAAAGCCAAACAAACCAAAAACTTTTATACTATGGTAATGGGAGCCGCTGATTTAGAATATGAAATATCCCTTTACTGTGAAGCTTTTTTGTAAGACTATCTCAGGTAAACCTCAATAACTGAATTTCTAGCGTCTGTCAAAAATGCAATTACACAGTCAAATCAGCTTGCCTAACTAGCACACGATTTTTCAGATTTTGAAAAAGTCTTGTCAAATGGCATATTTCACAAGGATCCACCTGCTAGAAGTTCATACCGTAATCTCACAGTAATAACAAAGGGAGATCGGAGTTTTGTTTCATACTGTAAATCTAAGTTGATCCTCGTTCTACAGAAAGATGTCTCAAGCTCGGCGAAAGACATGAAAGCAACGGAGTTATCAACGATCAAAAAGTGTTCACATTTTTTGGGACAATCTGTATATATGTTTGGGTACATATGCTCATTACATATCACCCCAAGCAATTTAACATAGAAGACATCATACTGCTATGTTACTATAGGGACCTGCCATTTTTAACACTTGCGAGTTTTATTCTCAAGGAGATTCCAGCACGAAATATGCAAGGCCGAATTTTCACCATAAGCAATCTCTAAAAAAACACTCAATTTCTATTTTGCTACTTTGGAGATTTCTTGCCTTACTTTAGCTTTTTATCAATTTGTAAGTTTATGGCAATAAACGATTCGCACGAAATAGGCTCGGCTTGTTTATCGCATCTGATTCTTTAAAGGTGACATACTTGCGGTATTAGTGAGTGACGCCGTGCCTACCATCCAGAGCAAAAGTTTTTGCGTTGAAGTTTTACGTTGTTTTTACAATCTGCTCTTTCAAAATCGTGCAGACCTTTTCCATGGAAACTTGGATGTGCTATCCTGGCGCAATCCAAAAATCTGTTTGAAGGTATTACCAATTTATAAATCTAGGCAGCCTTCTTACGAATAGTCCTGTTGTCTTCAAGTTAACAATGATAAAAAAATTCAACAATGCTTCTTTCTAATTATCTGTATTACTTTGAAGCGTTGAGGGGTCTGTAACTATGTAACTGTACCAATCCGCACACAGCCCATAATTCCTAACTATAATACGAGTGATATTTTGCAAGGTTTGATGGAAAGCCTAAGTCGTATAAATGTGATGCTAAGGGGAGGTCGTCAAGCACATCAAGCATCTATGTACGTTTCTGTAAAAGGTCATGGGGGAGATATGTATCCATGGGGGAGAAATTGTCTTGAAAAAACGGAGGAAGGGCTAGGAGTTTTACGTTCACCCTGCCTGGGTATGCATACATTTTGAAGGTCCTTCAACCAAACTGTAAGGTTAAGGCTGTGATATACATCTCTTGAAAAGAAAGAGTTGTCAAAATCTGCGGGAAGTTTGTTAAAAGAGCTATTGGGAGAACAAACCAGGAGTAACTGAGAAAGATCCTGAGAGTACGGAGTTAGAGAGGGATCTCTTTCGAGAAGTTACCCTGTTTAAAACTAACAGAGCATTAGTCTAGGCAAACTTGCACAGTTGTAGTAATATCAAACATTCCGGGAAAGTCACCATCTCCCCAAAAACAAGTGGTGAGCCTTGTAGGATTGAACAGGAGTATAACTGCACTTCTGCACTGATATTGTCTTCTGTGAAACATTTTCGTGTAGAATCAATCTTTTTCAGTTTTGAAATGTGGAAGTCACACATGTAGAGTTTTATTTTAACTGTTATCCTTTACGTAGCGAAAATGTGACGACGTGATTCTCGGTCTCTTCTTAAACGTTCACGTATCTTGCGCACTTGGAATCTTCCTCATCGCGTTTAAGGGTGTAGCAAACATCGCCAGGAAGACACGCTTGATTGACGTTTTCAGTGATGAACAAGGTGCATAAGCTCGGAAAGTGCAATAAAGTGATATCATTTCTGTGCTAGTTGTTTACATTAGGTTACAAAGGAAGTTCCTAGGACTTATGGAATAATTTTTTTTAAATTTGCTGTAACTTCGAGCATAGTTTAGAGTAATGAACTTCTGCTGCAAAGAATGCTGTCTATAAAAGATAGGACAGGCTTTTTTTTATTGACTTTACAGCATTTAATTTCGGACACAAATATAGGGAGAAGGGAAAATATCTATCATAATCTGGAATTTGTTCTGTCCTTCGGCAGCATGTCTCGGGCATATGAACGCTAGAGAGCTCATATGAGGTGATTGTATAAGAAATTACTGAACCTGTTACAAGGACAAACTACGATTTCTAGACAACTCCTGCAAGAAAAGGTTCAAAAAATAGGCAATATGGCAATTTTATGTACAAACAAATCATTTTGTTTCCGGACAACTTTGAACGACTCCCCCTTAGGCGTCCTATCCCATATCCGACGACTGCAAAAAAGTTGATTCAAAGGCGGATCTAACATCTCAGAATTTTTGTGCGCTTATTGCAGGATTGCAGTTGGAAATTTGATCGAAGGCTCATTTAGACCATGGACTATACAACCCCTCCATTCAGTCGAAAAATTGGCGGAGGAAGGAAAAATTGTGAAACCATCTTTGTTGAGAAGATTTCCTTTCCTGCTTTTGCTAGCAGACTGACAGCCTTTGACATCCACTGAAAACGTAAAAACCTTGAGCTCCTCTTACGAAATCTTACGGAGAACGTGCCGTTCAAATTCAATATGCAATTTTGAAAAGGCAGGAAAGCTATCCTTGCAACCTTATATTGTACCCAATTTTATCGCTCAGCCTGGAGCACCTGCTGTAGAGTTCAGAAACAGAAAAAACTGGGACTTACTTGAGTGTAAATGTTTCCGAGATAGACATTAGCATGCCTTTCTTTACTATTTTCTTGGTAATAAAGTAACAAATCAAAAGCTTCTCTAAATGCAGACTGACTCGCAAACCCGTCACACCAAGAGAGTACATAATGAAATAACCGATGTCTCTGGCTCTATTTCTATCTAGTCCAAAGGGTAAAGATAGCTTTACCGACTAACTTTTCTGTAAGCGAGTGCAATGCACTTGTTGTTCTTGTAGCATGTGGCAAAGCACCCGCTCTCGTCCTTGATCATCTCTTGATATTTTCCACCCGGTACACTCTCGACTTTGTCAAAAACGCAGGGTGAAACCCATCTTGCCTAAAAGGAAACAGAGATGGTAAGCGCTTAAAATAATGAGCTTTTATGTGGAAGTTTACCTGGATACAAACCATTAAGAGAGCTAGCCACTTCATCGCCGCTCAGGATGGTAACCTCCAAATACAATGACAAAGACTCTGCTGGAAGTTACATTTAGAAAAAAGTGAAGCATTTGTTTCTAGGAGACTTGAGATATGCATGCTAATTGTTTGTTATTACTTGATTTACCTTTCAGTAGAAGCTAGCCCATTCCGATGATGGAAAGTTCTCTGCAACAGAAGAAAAGTTCTTCGGTTGCAGCTTTCAATACTGAAAAAACATAGAAAAACGAGCAAAACTGGCAAGGAAGCCATTTCTTACCTTGTTGAAGAAGTCTAGCTGTGTAATTAAGGATGGCGAAAATGGCAACTATTCCCCTCTGATTAGTTTAATAACTGGCAATGAAGTGAGCGATTTGATATGTCAACAATTTGGAAAACATCGGTGATACAATCTTCTTCCTTGCTTTTTTGAGGTTTCGTGACGGATTCATAACCATTCAGCATTTTGCGCGCCATAGCCTCAAATTCGTATAACGAAAACGATTCAGCTACACGAACCACCTGCAACAATATACTTTCATGGGCCATTCTCTGTAGGCACTTACAACAAGTCAGAGAAAGGATGTCTTGTTAAAGAGATGTCCAAAATCCACGAGCTCATTCAAGTGCTCTGCTTCTCTATGCAAGAATATAACATTAGTTGGTCTTCAGTTGGTTAGTCGTACTCCACTTGTTTAGGTTTGAGATTTTGGTTCAAATGATTTTGTAGCAGAAGAGTTTGACTTTAAGAAAATGCACCAATGGTGGTGTTATTAGTGTGATTAGCAGACCAAATATATCTAAGAGGGCCCAAAAAAATATTTCTTATAACGAGTTTGGAGCTTCTAACGGATGCACTGAAACAAAGGCAATCGTGGTTTCCAGCACTATAACTTGCAAAGGGTCGAAACCCTATTTGGCAACATCGTCCTAGGGAATCTGCGCAAGTTTCTCTTCTTTTTCTTTTTTTCTCCTTCGTCGCAGATTCTCAAAGGCAGCGTACACTCAGAACCGATGCTACCTAGGTCTATCTTGTGTATATGTAAGGCCAGAAGAAGACCAACTATGTTGGTCCGGTCTCCCAATGTTGTTGCCTCTAGGGGGAGAAAACGCGCGTGATTTTTTTTTGCACTTCAACCGGTTTTTACGGTCCGCCTCCTTCGGATGAGTCCACGACAGCGCTGCAGTTGCAGTTGCAACTGCAGGCTGCATGCAGTCGCAGCTGCTCCTACCTGGCATGCCTCTCCGTCCTCTGAAGAGAGGGTCCTCGGGAACGGGGTATTTTTGAGGGTTCTGGAGAATTTGAATTTCAATATGTCAGTGTCACGGAAAAGTCCTGGGATGACAAAAACATGGGGAGCGAAATTTTGTGTGTAGCGGCCTTTAGTGTTTTGCATTGCGTTGTTACAGCTCTTATGCTTGAATAATAATGAAAAGGCAGATCTTTACTTTTCCTTGCAAGACTTTATTATTTGCCAAAGCACCATTCTGTTGAAATCTTAAAACTTCTTCTGATGTAGACTTTTCCAAGTTATTTAATATTGTTAAAAGGTGGTTAATCTTTAGCACTTTGAGGCTTTCTTTGTGCGTTATCCATTTATTGGTGAAGCAGAATGCCGAATTCTCAAACAATCTCGGGATTACATTGAAGACCAGTGACTTTGAGAGCAGCATGCATAAGCACCTCCGCCAAGGAGAGGAGCACAGCATAAATAAAAATGAAGACTTTTTATCCTTTTGTCGTGCTGTTTACGGAATTACAAGTATTCCTGTTTTACTTTACAGCCATTTCTAGCAGCATTTTTTAACATCTTGCACCTCGCATATCCTCAGCGGCCAACAGCTCTTCTTCAAGGTTCGTTTTTCCTTCTTTGAAATTACTGGGAGAATTCTATAATGCTGATTATCTAATTCAAGAATAGGCATGTTTCTGATGAGAACAAGGAGATGTGGAAGTAGTAAAGAATTCGATGAGCAGTAATGTTTTGTTTAATGCTTTGTTTGTTTGGAGAGTTAAATTTGGGGTTATTTCACGGAGAAGCAGTGAACATACTGATTTACCACCAAATTCGAGGTGGATATCAAGGTTTCAAGTCCGTGTAGACTATTTTTGTCTTATTATTGACATTCACTGATATTTCTCGACAGAGTACCGCACGAGTAATATGGTGGGCGCTACGTAGACACCACACACACATGGTACCAAAGCACTATGTACAATGGATACAAATGATCTACAAAGAAACCACGAGCTACGTCCAGACAGCAGCAGGATCATCAGAAGACTTCAAGATACAAACCGGTGTACATCAGGGATCCGTACTCTCGCCGCTCCTGTTCATCACCGTCATGGATGCGATAGTCAACGACTTCATACAGCAACCACCGTGGGCTCTCATGTATACAGATGATGTGATCGTGATGGCAAGAAGCAGAGATGAACTCTAGAAAGATGTGCAGACATGGAAGGATCAGCTGGAGGCTCACGGACTGAAGCTGATTACGACAAAGACAGAATACATGGAGTTAGGAATGCAGACACCTGGAACAATCGAGATTGGAGTTACGCTAATCAAGAAGACCACCTCCTTTAAGTACCTTGAAAGCCGTATTACCGCAGATGGTAGTCTCTAAGACAAGTAGCGAGTAGAGTGAATGCAGCTTGGATGAAGTGGAGGAGCGTCACAGGAGTCCTGTGCGATAAACGAATTTCGAAACTGAAGTTTCTGATACACCGTATAGTGATACGACCGACAGCGCTGTACGGAAGCGAACGCTGGCCCTGCACACCTTACGAAAAAAGAAGGATCGGCGTGATGGAGATATGAATGCTGAGGTGGACTGTAGGAGTCACAATGCTTGACCACATCTTGAACGACACCATACGAAGCATGATGAACGTCGCACCGCTTGTCAAGAAAATGCAAGAAAAACGCCTTTGATGGTATGGGCACGTCAGGCGAAGAGAAGAAAGCCAGACAACCAGAGTTGCCATGTCGATAGAAGTGCCAGGACAGCGGCCAAAGAAGACCTAAGTTGCAATGGCTGGGCAGAATCAGAGCAGATATGAAAGAACTTGAACTGAACGAAGAGCAGCTTAGACCGAGAAAAATGGAGAAAACGTACAAGAGCGGCAGATCCCGCATGACGGGAAAAGTGCAATGATAAAAAATTGTCATTTATTAACCGAAGTTATGTACAGACAATCTATGGCCTCTGGGAGACTATATGTCAACAACGAAATCCTTACTATAATATACACTGGATCCTTCCAAGCGCTACGGCAGAGTTTTCTGCGTCCCTCCTATCCTTAACCCCAGCGTGACGGAGGGTCCAGTTGCTGAAGGAATTCAGAAAAAGGAATGCGAAAATATAACGGCGCTCAGTGATGGCGAGAGGAGAGGCCAGCAGCCATTATGCCGGCGAGAGATTCGCTTGCACTATGGGTCCTGCGACGGAGCAGATATTTTTCAACTTTGAGCTAAGCGGCTAAAAATTGGCATAGGGGTGTATGTGTGCACGCTGGTCACAAAATCATTGAATTTCAAAATTATCAATGACCTATCTGCTACCTTTATCGATTTTGTTGCTGCACTTGCTGTGTTGAAATAGCAACGTACCATGAAAGTTGAAATGGTTGTGTACGGAATCACTCCAGCTATCGATCTTTCTTTCGGCTTGTCCACTCGCAAGACGACCTTACATTTTCCAATCGCTCAATGCCTTTCTGTTACCTTCACTCTACGCATGTAGCCTATTCAGCCTCCTTATGGGAAATCCATATTTTATGCATGTTTTGAGAAAACTAGGAAAAGTTAATTTTTGAGCAAGTTTGCGAAATTCTGATTGTTCAAAGAAAAAAACCTAACATTCCATGAATTATGGTCTTGAAGGGGGAGGTAGATTTGGGAATTCTAAAAATTGGGAAGTACAATTATCCTGCACACACATCTCAAGAAAATGCATCAAATGTTCCTAAAGGGGAAGTGCTCAAAATCGCTTGGTTTTCAGCAAGGATTAGTATTTTCACCACTTTGGTCTAGAAGGAGGCAAAACTCGAGGTTCGCGAAGCAGAGCCTTAGAAAGACTAATCACCCTTTTCTGCACAAGTTTTGACGAAATCATCAAAAACTCGTTTTAAGAAAGTTTGCGGAAAACTTGATACTTCAATGAAGATGAGCTTTATCAGTTTTGGTTTCGAGGGCAGGTAAGATTTGTTCTGCCGAGCAGAGCCTCATTCCATGTCCATGTCTCTTTCACGCGCAAGTTTCGAATCATAAATTCATTTTAGCAAGTTTGCCGAAATCTGATTTTTCAGCGAAAAATCAAAAATTCGTTGAGCGTTGAGCGTTCTAGCAATTGTGTTTAGGAATGGGATAGATCTGAGAAGAATAACCAGCCTGAGCACAAATCCCAACGAAATTCATCACAAATCTGCTTTGAAGTAAAATGCTCAAAATTCTGATTTTTTCCAGCGAAGAACTGGGCATCCCATCAATTTTGGTTTCGAAGGGGGTGAATCTCGAGATTCTGAAATGAAGGCATATTTGAAAAAGGCTCCCCCTTTTCTGCGCAAGTTTCAACAAATTCATCAAAAGTCACCTTCTCGTGTATATTGCTGAGAAAATTGCTACAAAACTGTGCAATCCTCAATTTTGGCTTGGAGGGCAGGTAATGAGGAGCAAAGCTTCATTTGAAATGTTCGTATCTCTTCCAAGCGCGAGTTTCGGGTTTTTTTTTAATGAAAAATCGTTCTCGAGCAAGTTTGCGAAAGTTCTGATGTTAGAAAAACTGAGCGTTCCATGAATTTTGGTGTCCATCGGGAATGGAGAGATTCGGGAAGACTAATCAACCTATCCCGCTCAAATTTGAACTAAATTCATTATAAATCTGCCTTTGAAGGTGCGGAAGAATCAGATTTTTCTAGCGAAGAAGTGAGCATAAAATCGATTTTGGTTTTCAAAAAAGTTACAAATTTGAGTTTTGTAATATATCATCTCTGCCGCCTTGAAATCTTATCATATGAACACGTTGT